AATATATTTCTGTAAAAAGATAGAACAATCCAAGCATGCTCATTTTCAATGGCTGGAAAGGTTAATGACATCTCGTATCATACCTTTGCTCCATTTAAAGAGAGCATAGCGTGACAAGTTTACAAAACGTTCGAGAAGAACGCGTGACATTCTAGTTCGAGAAAATTGTTTGAAATGAATAACGCATTGACTATGGTATAAAGTCTTTTTTTTCCTCATGACTTGTTTTCCACTTTCTTGTTATCAAGTCTGAACATTTTTTCCGTAAGTACCGTCAGGGGGTCGATAGAGTTTGGGCAAAGCCATGACTTGCCACGAATTGAAGGCATATCTTCGTATTCCAGTGTTCTTGAATGTATTTTCTCGTCTCGTCCCTTCACTACAAAACACAAAAGCAGCAAAACTAGGTTTACCCAGTGTTTGAGTAGTTAATAAAGAGGTAAAGAAGTTTTAATCCTGCAAATAATTCACCTGTGTCAAAAAATAAACAGCAGGAAATACAGGCCTCAAAAAACGGATAGTGAGACAGAAAACTTGTTACGCTAATCAGCAACCTTATTTATTCCAAATTTGTGCTCTTTTTCTAGTTCTGTTCGCAAAATGAAATCGCCACAGCGAACTTGGATTATGTGTCCTAAAACCAAAGCCAGAGTAATCAAAAGGACCAATCAGAACATAGGAAATTTTTCACAGAGAACCAACGAGAACTAATATAAAAAACTAGCAAACTTCATGAGGCGTGGGAAAACGAGCGACTTTATCGAGATTGGTTCAAGCGAAGTGTCTGATTGGTTGAGATGGTGGGCCTCTCGAGTCTTCTAGACCAATCAGAGAGCACATCGACGTAAGACCACAGCAATCCCAGATTACTCTTGACATTCAGTTGAAAATTACCCTGAGGTACTCTAACGTCGATTGCAAGTTTTACCAAAATTTTACAAGAGGGATGGTGGGGAGTCTGTCTACTTTCTTAAATGAGGGGAAACATATGGACCCTGGCACTCTCCGCGAGAAACGCCCTTGTACGGTACCTTCTCATGGCGTCTAAGGCCTGCTGGAAAAACTGTGAGTCCATGTTGTGTTCCCGTTTGAGGATCATGCACTGCTCCAAAGTGATTCCCATTCCTGTTCGGTCTTTTGCGCTTTTACAACTCATGAAACGGCATCCGTTCAACCTCCAACAAATCTGTGGGAAAGGAAGAGAGAATTGTTATAAATCGTTATAGCGAAGCATTAGACCCAGTTCTTACTTTACAAAAGTCTATCTTGCACTCGAGGATTTCGGTCGTAGCTTACTCCAGTTTCCCTAATATGAAGCGACCAAGAGTATGTAGCCACCTTCACAATCCACGGACGTCAATTCGATCCAATTTTTCGTGAGGGTCTTCTTGACCGCTCGCCGGAATCCGTTTGTATTCCTGAATGGGTGTAAATGGTTAAAGCCAAGGCCACATCCAAAACAAATCCCGCCAAATCTTGAGCCACCTTCAATTGAGTGTCGAAAGCAATAACCTCGCTATGTGATTGGTCCAGAAAACCTGCGTCATCCTCTCAACCAATCAAATTCAGCCAATCTCAGCCAATCACCTCTTCAGAAAATTTGCTTGTTTATACTTGGAGTTCTCACCGCTTTCTTTAGATATTTCCATTCCTCTGATTGGCCGTTGTGATACCTTTTATTTTGATTTTACGAAACTCAATGAAAATGCACTCTAATACGCTGTACCTCTTCGCTGATGAGGAGAATGTCCACATTCTTCCCTCGTCTGCTTTCAATGTTTGATTTCAAGGACTTCATTAGCTGCTCCACACTATGATCACCTTCCCTTCTGGAGGCAACTGGTAGGATTGGAATTAAAAAAAGGAAGACAGTAAATGAATCAAATGCCTGTCTCAATAATCCTAAATATCAACAACGAAGATACTTTCCAGGCGGCCGAGAAGGGAGGAAGGGACAAGACAAAAAAGAACGGGGAGGGAGGGGGGGAGGTCATGGAAGAGTGGGATTAGGGAGAGAGTGAGGAAATTAAGGAAGTTAAGAAGTGGTTAGATGGAAGTAGAGGGGGGGGGGTGAGAGGAAAACAGAAGGGTAAACAGATGACATGGTTTCATTAGACAGGCATTTCTGCGGTTGACCAAAATTCTCAAAACGTCTTTCAACTTACTTGCGTCGGGAAACTTGTCTTTGAACTGTTCAAGGTAAAAATTTAGGATACTATAGTTATCACCATTGATCTTTTCTTGTAGGCTGGTATCTCCAAATCTGGAAGAGGAATTTTTCAAATATGACATAAATATTAAGAAGGATGAGATATTTTGCTGTGGATGTCTTCGATAAATGTTCCCAGAAAAAAATGGAAAATGGAAATCTAGTTCGTTTTTGGCTCCAATCATTATTAATACACTGCATGAGATTTCCTGAGTCGTATTAAGCTATACACTGCACCTTTCTGCATATCATCCTGCCAAGAGATTAAAAACTGCAGAATATCCATTGGCTGGGAGATTGCGTGACTGCTTTCCTCTTGCACATCATGCAAGTTCCGTTACCGACTGCTTTAATCAGCTTTAATACTGAAGTTCTTGGACCCTTCTTTCCCATAACCTCCGTAGAGTTTATGACAGATTCTTTGAATTGGTCAGGTTCTTTTTTCTCACAACCGGCCATCTACACAATCTAAAATCTCTTTAGGGAGACATTAAATATCACCCATAGAAAGGTTACCTTTCAGCCAATGTAGCGTGTTCATTGATGCCTTGTGTAAAGAGCACTGGAATGACCTTGACTAAACGACCTTCCTGTAAGTCACGTGGCAGTCTCCGGAAGTGGACAGGCGGAAGTGACACGTTCACTTGAATATAAGACCTGATAAAGAACAACTAAATTCATGTAGTTGCAATATTACGAGTTTCATAAGAATCTCTCATAAAGCGTATTTGTATTTGATATCAAAGTCATTGAAAAGCGTGAGAGTACGGATGACACTATAGAGGGAAAGTATGTAACTGTTTGTCTCGGGTGGGGAGACACAATCACGCTATTTCTATTATTACTACCTAACTTGCGCCGATTGGCCCATTAAGGACAGCGGGAAATAAAAAAATTGGTACTATCCACGAAACTAAGCGATGACTGTGTCGTCATTGCGCAGATCCACGGAAACATTCTGAGCTGACTAATATATAGATTTAGCCAAGCCTAAAAGCGGAGCTCGCATTTTTTCCCGCACGTCTCAAGGGCACAACGCCTTGTCCCGGCCAGGACTAGAACCCGGGTTGTCCGACTCGGAGCCCAGTGCACTGACCATTGGACTACTGGACAAAGCCGTGGCGTTGGCGTGCCCGCGGTACAGTTGACCACGCATGTTAAAAGTAGCACCTTGTACGGTCGTACGGTCGTACATCCAAATTTTTCCGGCTTGATGGGTTACTACTATTTTGTATAATTTTGGGACTACGCTCTGCGAGCTCCGCTATAAGCAAACGCAGTAAAAAAATTTTTCTTACCTGTTCCCACTTAAAGTTGGGATTTCATCTTCTCTGTCACACAGTTTGAACTAAAATAAAAACAATAGTTTACTACAGGCACGGTACGCTTCACTTAATCTAGCAATCGAGAGAATCGAATAAAGAAAAAGCTCGGCAGTAATAAATTCATGCCTAAGATCTGTATTCTCCATCTAAAATCTTAATTTTTATCTATCCTTTCGAAAGATTTATACCCCATTTTATACCCCATGGAAGTATGTCCTTTGTACATTCCTTCCTTCGACAGAATGTAGCATTTTGCAGGGGTTTTCGCATCTTGGTTTGAGAGTATATTTCTCACCAACTTTCTTTTAAAGAAGTCTTGCACGGATACAACGACAATAAAAAAGTTGACAGGTCACCTTAAATTTGACGCACGTTAGGTTACTTATGCTCACACACACGTCTTCCAGCATTCCCATTTCATCCCCTAGAGACAAAAAAAAAACATTCACGTGATATAACTTATATCGTAGATGTAGGGTCACAATGAGAGATGAGTTTGGTTTTATCACTGTAGGCCATCTCCGTTCATCTGTAAACAAACACGGATGTTACTTCAGCTACCTACATCTATTGCAAAAAAAAAAAAACCATCTGTCCATTCGGAGAGTAAGAAGATGAAAGGCCATGAAAATGGGGGTTCAAGTCAGTTCATCCAAATTAAAGACATTACACTGCTACCACAGAGCGCAAACGTCGGGCATGCGTAAATTGGTAAAATTTCGCCAGCCGCGCGCCAATTTTCGGCGTTTAGTTACCTCTTAGCCTTTTCAACGTTCACACATGCGCAGATGTTTGACAGCCATATTCAAAATGCTTCGCGATAAAAATCACGGGCTCAAGATCAAGAAAGGAGGGTGAAGAAATGACCAATATCGTCAATATTTAGAGAAATGAGATTAATGATACCCAGAGGGCTTTCTCCTTACTTTATCTGTAAAATCCCAAATGAAAAAAACGTAGCATTTCATACCGTTTGTGGTAAGAAGGCTCTCAAAATGTGCCAGAAACCCAATCTGAACAAGTTGCTTTAGATACACAGCGTTGGAGAATGATGTGTGAAGTTTACAAACAAACCCAGCCACCAAAGCCGTGACCTGCGAACAGACACCCGGAAAGTACTTATTAGATACCAGTCCAAAGTCAAATCAAGATGTTTTAAGCCTTACGATCCAAATAAATGCCGGAGCTTATCTGCTCTTCACAACATGATACGACCTAAGAGTGTTCCTAATCATCCCTGATGAGATTGGTGTAAATCACAGGTTCCCCACTCCCCACCCCCCACACTCGCATTTTGTTAGGTTTGGAAACAGTTCGCCAACTACTGAATGGAGATTACACTGTGAGAGGAAAGTGCTCTGCCCCAAGAACACATCACAATGACCCAGTCAGAGCTCTAACCCAGACCTCGCTCTAATAAGCTTCCAAGTCTCTAAAACGTGACTGTGGCAAAATAATCAACGGAAGGCGCCTTTGCGTTGCTAAGCAAACAAAGCGATCTCAAGACAAAGAATCGAGGCCCAATGTTTTACAAATTGTTTTTATTGTCAATACAAGGGGTATCATCCTATCTCGGTCGCAAATACTTACTGCGTGAGAGAAAACAATGTCCTGCCTTCTTCGAATTTCGTACAGTAGAGAGGCGTGTTTGGCTTCTTCCTGTTATCATATGATACGAAACGTGAAGAGGAGAAACTTAAGCGTATTCTGATTGCCTAAAGTGCATTTAAGAGAATTCGGTTTTGTATCAAAATAGTACCTACAGCTGATACCGGTAAGAGTGTATATCTTCATTAATAGCGCATTGAAATTGTTTAGGGAGGTTACTTGCTAATCGCATCTCGAGATAGAAGGTTAGAAAGTGTTTTTCGTAATCTAAGCGTACCTGTAACTGAAGGAATATCATTCCCAGATAGATTTCCTTCACTAGACCGTCTACAGCTCTGGAAAAGTCATGCACCTCAGATAAAATCACTTCCACCCAAGATTTTCCTATACAACAGGACAAAAATACTCAAATATAAGAGAGCTGTGTTACTTATCAGACATCCGTTCAATTTGGACAAGAAAAAAAAAAAAAAAAAAAAAAAAAAAAATTGCTTCATTCCCATAATGCATCTGTACCTTCAGGTGACCGAGCATTCTGAACCATACTTTCCATGTGACTCTGCATCATGACGAGGCTCTGATTGACGAGAGTAGACAGTTCCTACAGAAAGACAAATGAAAGAGAGAAGGTTTTGATTTCATAGGAACAAGAATTTCCCATTGTCAGTAGTCATTCAAATGGAAAAAAGACTTCTTACATCTGCTCCAAATGACCGCTTGCAAACGCGGGCTCAGGCAAATGTGATACTTGTGCCTTGAAAATTTTGTTTCAAAGGTGGAAAACTTTGCGTTCAAAAACTTCATGCCGGGTTCAAATCCCGGACGAGCCTGAAATTTTTCAGGCCTTATTTTCACTACTGCTTAAGTAGTGTTCATTGCTGCGAAGATCACTTTCATCTCTTAATCCTCTGTTCACAACTATGATTTTCATATATTCACAATTATTTATATACCATTTCACGAGTTTATTACGAATCACCATAATGACCAGCTCACAGTTGGCTTGTTGGCTCAGATGGTGTAGTACTGAACTGGTATCGCAAAGGTCATGGGTTTAAATCTCGTAAAGGCCTGAATTTTTTGAGCCCTTGTTTTCACTATAGCTTAAGTGGTCTTCATTATTACGAAGATCGCTTTCATATTCGAAGGTGGAAAACTGTCACTATCTGCACTTCTATCCACTTCTACTTTTGGAAGTCGGTAAAGAAAATTCGCAAATTATTTTCGCCAAGATACATTACCTGGCACTTAGCACTAGGTTTGGTAAATATCTGAACATTCCAGAAATTATCTGTAAACAAAAAACAAACAAACAAACAAACAAATACAAAAATAACAATAAATCAGCAATTGGAAGATCAAAAAGGAAGCAAATAGGACATAAAACAAAGAATTTCGAGTGGTTTATTGTGATGAGGTTTTGGATGGGTCAACGCTTAGTCTGAGATTTCATTTCTAAAACGCGTTTCTCACACACCACCACGGCAAGTGCAATAAAACAATAACTAATTCTAATCACTAGATTAGTTTCCAACGACAAAAGGTATAGATATATTGGTATTCTATCACAATGCGGTAATCTGATTGGCTGTGCTACTCGCTGTCTTCTCCGTGATCGATGGTGAGTTTAGTGTATGGCTTAACTGTGTGCTGTTGTAAACAAAATAAGATAAAAACGCGAGTCTGTCTTTTTTATTAGGTTTGTTACATTCACGAAACACTTTCAACACCCTAGATCCAATAATCTACTTGTTATCTGGACTTAACAGCTTATAGAATGAGTGTTACTCTAGGGTATACCTCCGTCTGTAGGCGAATCTTCCTCTTTAGGAGAAGGCACAGCTTTCTCAAGCGACGCTAATGATTCTACCACCAAAGGGGCTTCACGAAATTTCAATAACTGCGTTGCCTACATAAAAGAAATTAAAGAGGCTCAAACACAAACGACTAGGAAAATTAAATTGTTTCATTCATACCGAGATTTAAATTATGAAGTACTATAGTTCATGCCTCTGATTGGACGAACGATGTATTTTCACAGTCGTTCGTTCAGTATGTATGAAACAATCTCTACATCCTATTTTTGATAACATGCTGGTCCATCGTACAATATGAGTTCGGGAAAAAAATTTTCCGTGGTTTTAAAATTTCCAAAGCAGATCTACTTTTAATTGATTTTACTTTGTTTAAAATCTATTAACTAATCTGAGACAAAAAAAAAACAAAATTGTACACGCAAGAAAAAATTTAAAACCAAATAAAAAGGTGAACTGACTAAAGCACATAGATCTTTTAGGAAAGGAAGGCTGATCCTTCCCAGAATACCCATTAACATACTGATTTTCTTGTACCCAGTTCATTGTAAGCCTTGGTGGACAGATGTAATGTCGGTATAAAGTGCTCTGCCAAATAACACTAAAGATTGATAAGAACGAAAGTCACTACACTACCCTGCGCGGGAAACTGAGTGACCTTGTTGCTATTGGTTTTAATTTTGATCTGATTGGTTCAGACTACGACGCGAGTTTTTCTCGACCAATCAAAACAAAGCAAGGTCTAATTAATGGAGCACGTGACCCTTCCTACATACCTTGTCTGAAAGACGCGACATGGTTTCCAAAAGATTTGTCACATCTCCCGATCTGATGGCCCTAGAAAACGAAGCAACAAACGGATGATTATTTCTAAGACATTGCATTAAACTGTTAGTATAAAATTCACAAAGTTATTGGGGCAACAGTTGAATACAAAATCAGATAAAATTCGGATAAAACCAAAAAAGGAAAAAAATTCCTTCGATACTTTTCGCATCCACAACATTTTTCGTTTTTCCTTTCCCGAAAATGTCATTTTCGACATTTCGACATTTCACTGAATAAAATAATACCCTCCTACATTTTTTTCCCATCGCTAAAAAAGCCTATCCCTGTTATAAGAGCAATCATGATAAAGTATTCACTTGGATAGTAAGAAGTCAACTGTTCGTTCAACATTCTCTTAATTAAAAGATAGAAATCAAAATTTAGCGACTTACTTCTTGACATTTTCACAATGTTGGCTCAGTTGGGACTTAAATTTTTCCAAATTAACTACAAAAGAACAAACGATGAGTTTATAACAGCTTCCGACGGAGAAGTCCAACCACAATTTTCATTTTCCGATCTACACAAGTCAGTACAAAAATTGAATGCTCTGTAACTGCGATTATCTCCTACTTGGGAAAACATATGCTGTCAAATCGTAAAACACCCTTTTATACAAACGACTGAAACATTAACTCGCTGATATCTTTGTGAACGCAGCCAGGGCCGAAAAATCAGCTAGTTTACCCGTTAATGGATATTTCTTTAGCGCTCTATGGTGGATATCAACCCATCCTTTTCACCCCCGCTTCGTGCACTCACCTCTAAGCTGTTTCACCACTGGAGCTTTGTTTTCACTCTCCCCACCACTGAAAGTCAATTAAATTTGTTAGATTTACCATTTGATACCCTTAGAGGTCCCCTGAGCTATATCATAGACGTCGGGAATCACTATAACCGTTTGGTACGAAATATTTCAATGCAATACCCTTAGTACTCCAGCAAAGTTGGTTACACTGATTCTACCATGTAAGCATACCTCTGTTGTGCCTTCCTAAGTGTCGTGTACAGTCGCCTTAGTCCTCCCTGGCCAAATTTAAGCGTATGAGCAGCTGGAGCACCGACGGTGACCATGTCATACAATGTCCCTGATGAAAAAAAAAGCACCTTGTATTTCATCATTAAAGCCTCGTGTAAACGACTTCGAAGATGCCTTAAAAAATACTATTTTAACAACAATGCAGTACACGAAAAAAAGGATAGTTTTTTTTCCTAAGAACACCGCCACTGACGTCTATAGCTTTCCCGTGTTTAACACCGGTTACAAGCTGTCCCGCGCTTGACAACAGTTACATTACACCCGCATGGCACCGATAACATTTTTCTTTTTTTTTGCGCTAAGAGCGGGTAACCAATTTTCCTTGCGCTCAACGTGTGGCAGTATCTATATGTTTTCGCGCGCCTGCGTTGGTAATATTTCGTCGTACGCATGGCATTGGTAACATATTTTCCCGCCCTCGGGACTGGTAACAACTTTTCCCACACTCAGCACCAACTCCATTATTCCGACACTCGGCTCCATCTACACATCTAACTGGAACTGGTTTTATCTCCTCTTTCTTTTCACCTCTTGTCAGCTTTGATTGGACTAATTTCTTTTTCGATAAAGGGGCTTCTAATGGAACATTCATCGCAACCAAACATGTACGCTTCTACAACTCCGTACCTCCCTCATTGTCTTGCATAACCTTCATTCTCTGAATGTGCAGATTAATTGGAATAAAAGCCAGTTTCTTATCATTTCTGAGTCTCGCAGGCTTAAAAAATGTACCTAAAAACAAAGAAGTGCATGTCTCAATTTAACCCTTTACACCATCACATCAGCTTGTATATTCTCCGTACCGTTCTCTATACATTTCCTAAGGTGCTGACAAGGAGAATTTGTTTAAAAAAATCAAGAGCTCCTTCATTCGGTGATCATTTTCTTTACTCTCGTAAGCTATATGTGTGATCCAGGCGTGACATTGTAGGGAGAAATTAGATGCTAGTCACTCTTAAGTCTAATAAAATCATCTGTACCCACATCACTTGCGGTCATAACAATCTTAAATACGTATTGTTTGTACAACGAACCTTGTAAAGGAACAAGTTCTTGAAGATTGCCTTTGTAAGCACAGATGAGCTTGAAATGATTGTCAAGGATCTCTTGCCGAGCATTTTCCCAGTTAGGGTTCAACTAAAATAAAAATGTTCAATTAAAATTGATACTTTGGAGACCAGACAATTTGAGAACACCATCTCTTAGTTCACTGTTGCAGCGCTCTTCAAATGAAGATTAGTGGTATCTACTTCTTAGGAAAATTACACGTATCAACGTTTCTTATTGGACCTATTTTCAACGGGGCCGATTGCAGATGAGTGCTCTCTCTACCAGGCTGGTATCCACCTAATACACTTTTCAATGAAATGACTTACATCTTCACTACATCTATCAAATACCACTTAACAAAAATGTAAATGAATTCTCACATCTCCCAGGTGGTGAAGCTCAAGAATCTTCTGCTGCTCCTCTGCGATATACATTTTCCTGAAAACAAAATGGTACTTTACAAGCCGAAACTAAAAGGTCCGAGCGTTTTGGTGGCCATGGCGAGTAGGAGAAATTTGGTACTAACTTTGCTGTGAGAATCGCCGAGTTGACAATCTATTTGGTGGTCACGTTACAAGTTGCGATGTTTTTTAAAATTACTTAGTGCTCAAGATCCAATTCTAAACTGAAAGAAACATTTGCGTTAAATACTATTTTAAAATGCTCCGAAGTATTCATGTATGGAAAAAATTACCACTTTCTCTTCGATTGTCTGAGTATGATGCTTCGAGATGTCGCGCAAACCTCCAAGTAAAAGCGCCAATCAGTTATTTCTTTAACTTAAAAAAAATATTATATTCTGGCAACTTAGCCAATCTTTTTGGCCACTGTTTTATGATTTAAAGTAGCCGAGTGGCGACTCTGAAAAAAAACGGACTTGGAGCTCTATGAACCATGGGGACTTGCACAAAACAGGTCTATGTAATGCAAAATGGTTACACTGCGTTTAGTCATAATAATCAGTATTTGACTGGCCTGCGGACAGGCTCTAATAAGCGCTGCGATACAAGCAGCGTGGCCCTGCGCGTTTCGAGCAGTCTAGCAATGAGAGCGCGCGCGAGGTCCGCGAGGGTTAGTAAAGGACCCCAGCAGACCTCTCGCACATTCCTTCGCGCGCTTGCGGGCTCGCATTTGATAGATTTTAAGTACTCACAACAGCTGAATTGGTATTTTGAAAGTGAGGACGCTCTCTCCCATCATTTCCACCACTTTGAGGACAACACCTCGCATCCTGGAAGGGACGAGAAAAAGGATAAGTATACGTAAACTCGCGTGACTCTCTCAACCAATCAGATACAAAACTACGAACCAATCACAACTTTGTCCGTGTTTTCCCGCGCTTTTCGCAGCTTGCTTGTTTTTTCTTTGAGTTCTCATTGGTTCTTAAGTGTATTTTCCTTTGTTCTGATTGGCTGTTTTGATAACTTTGGTTTTAGCTTTACGACACTCGAAAAGCGCTGTAATCACCTGAGGTTTGAGGGTTAGCGTGACAATACGATATATATATATATATATATATATATATATATATATATATATATCGTATTGTCACGCTATATATATATATATGTATATATATATACATACATATTTATATATATATATATATATATATACATACATATAGGAAGAAGCTCACTCCTCCTAAATATGTTCATTCCTGTTCTACCTGAAGCACACGGACAGTGTACACGATTTTGTCATTCTTACGTGGTTGGGAATCTGTAACTTCTTTTCTGAATGTGTTCCACCATCGCCATAGATCTATACGAAATCAAAAATTGAAGGAAAGAAATGAATCACTAATTTCATTATGTTCATCATCATCAGCTTATTACTATGTGGATTGGGTTTTTCCATCGCATACGGATAATTTTCTTCGGGCGAGAAGGTCGACTGGATACACGTCAACTATTAAAACATTATGCTCACAATTGCGGACAATGCCTGCTTTGAAACGATGTAAATTTTATTGATATTGATACCCAATGCTGCACACGCCAGGTAAAATTGGCAATACAACTAAGACTTCATCTAAAGAATATTAACAGAGACAGTAGAATAAAAATCCCAGAGGCATGGATGCCGACGATCAAGAAACGCAACCATAAGATAGCCTTGCGACTGTAAACCACTGAAAGAACACATCTCCGAAACGCGCCAATCACAGCTTTTAAAAACCAACCAATCAGAGAATAGCGGTTCATAAGATGACGCGTGTGCAGATGACCATATCGCCTGAAAAAAAAGTCTCACAGTATTCAATCGAAACGTCGCGATACACATCGGAAGTGGCTACATCGAGCCTAAGTGGTTAAATCGAGAGACAAAAAAAAAACCACAACCGAACTTCATTAGGGCTTTGACGTGTGTTACCTTCCGCTATTTTTCCTAGTTCCCACATCATCCTCCTTCTGCAATGACAAAGATACTCCTTTAGCTAAGGGAATAACTCAGACCAACCGCACTATACGTGACTAAAAATACCTTTACCTCAATTTGAGAAATTCTTTTTGATGATTTACGACCATCCACCTGATCAGAAGATAGAGAAAATAAAAATCATTATCATCATCATCATCATCATCCTCATCAATTGTACTTTTGGCGCCAAGTGACATAAACGTTTCAATAACAATTGCGATAATTAATTACGCAATGCGATATCTATTGACAATTTTATTGAGGATACTCATGGAACACATTGCTTATATATAAAAAAAAAAATCGGAAAATGACTAATGGAAGAGCTGCGTCTTTGAGTTGGTCTGGCAAAGACTACCAGCCACTTTTAAATCATTATCAAAACGTAATTTTTGCCTTTATGTTTGGATTTTCATTATTTTCTTTGCAGGTGAATTTTGTTTTGTCTACAACATAACTACACAAAAAATTATTTCTGAGCAAGGGAGCAAAAAGCAGTTGACCCTTTACACCCTAACATCAATATGCATATTCTCCATACAATTGTCTTTAGATTTCCCAAGGTGCTGACAAGGAGAATTAGTTTAACAATCAAGAGAGTCTTATGCTAGTGATCACTTCCTTTATTCTCATGACCTTAATGTGTGATTCAGAGGTGATATTGTGAGGAGAAATTAGATGTTAATCACTCTTGGGGGTCAAAGGATTAAATGATAAACTGAATTATACCCATTTCATAGTTCTTTCTTGTAAACTATTGGATGACAGATGCATAAATGGCGTCACCTCTAACAACATTTTGCATTTTTTATCACATAAAACAAACTGATTCCATGTTGCTGTTGGCCTGCACAGTAATAAAACACAGGAGATGACAAACTGTCATTGGTAAGAATATCAGTGACACAGTCAGCTGCACCTAATGTGCCACATTTTCATTATTACCACAATTTGATGTCATCTGTGATCTAGTGCCAGACAGACATGAGGTAACATGGAATCTGTTTAGTAAATTAACAGATGAATAAAAGGATGAATGGAATTTTGAAGAAAGAAACTTTTCTACCCTACTGCATCAAATCCAGATATGCCTTAATCAAAGTTGTTTTTCTGATCCATGCTCACCTTCCATCCGAGTACTGTGACAGTTCCACAGGCATCAGGTGAATCAAGAGGACTGGAAATAGAATGGTACACAAATAAACAAACTATGGTTAGAACAAGTCTTACTGGCTCGTGACTCTTGAAAATAACTTTTTGTTGGAACTACTTACGTCAAAGTTAAGAGCAATTTCTGATCAACTGATGTTAAAATGTCTCCCATTGTGCACATTGCTTGCCCCAACAAGGACATCTGTAAGGGACAGGCCAAAATTCAGTTTGGAAAACAGCACATTTTTTCATCTTTTTTATTGGCATCAAAAGCAAGCACCACATGACAAGATCACTCATACCTCTTCTTTTTCTCTGTCTCTAACATCAAACACCGCTAATTTTAAACGAGTCATCTCATTCACTGTTCCCTCAGGGAACACCACAGTTGTCAGAAAATATGGGTCAATTTTTTGCTAAAGACATTCAAAGGAAACACATGATAACATATTAACAAAATACGATCAAAAATTCAAATAAAATGCACAGTGTCTTTGTCTTTGTTCTCTGGGAACACAGTTAAAGTATGCATTATGAATAAATCTGAGGTCCAGCATAAAAATACTGCAGTTTTGGTTGCCACAACAAGTAGAAAAAACATAACTACTACTTTGCACCTTTCAATCAGTAGGCATGCATAAGGCTGCTTTGTATTAATCACTATATATTGATGATGTAAAATATAATCAGGACTTTATTGCTTTCTTTTTGAACAATCTGCATATTCATCTTTAGTGCACAGGTATGAAGAAGCCCTCAGATGCACAGGTACTAAAAACCTCCAAATTGATAACCTTTACTTCTGGAAAACAGTTTATAATTTCAAGTTTCCAAATGGTGATTTTTAAAAACAAAATTAGCTTGGAGCCCATATTAGCAACACAAAAGACTGCTTAACCCATTCACTCCAAAGGTCTAATTTTCAGTAATTCTCCTTATTGTCTGTCATACAATTCTTACCATAACAGTTTGGAGATTTTGGTATAAAATCAACTGTGCAATAGTCCCCTTGTTGATATGTTTCTTTATTCTTATCACTTGCCTGCTTCATATTGTATAAATATTATAAAGGGAAATTCTTTCAATTGGTCATGAGGCAGACAAATACAAGTATACATATTTTTGTCTCATTATTTCCATGCACATCATTGGTGCATCTACATCTAAGGAAATAATCAAGAGAATTATTCAATTTTCCATCTCCAAAATTTATTCTTAAAAGACAAACCTTCTTTTTCCCAGCCAACCCACCCTATAAACTAACCTCAATTATTTCAGTCTGTGCATGTTTACTCCAAGATGTTGAGGGTGGGGTCATGGTTCTAATTTCAACAAAGGCATTTGGCAGTTGTCCTTCCTCTGAACTAATCAGCTGATGACAAGCTGGGAAAATAAATACAGCTTACTAAATAATTTCAAGGTCCATACTTCCAGTTTTCTACAAAAGCACTAGTAGCTGGTGTTTTTGTCTGCTACCAGCCTTGTTTCTAAAGCATCATTCAGCTACTTCAAATAGACAAAGCAGCAAAATACCTGTCTTAATTTGAGATCAATTTCAACCTTTGCTGTCTGATGCTTTTTTTAATAGCTGAGCAATGAAAAATCTCTGGAGAACACTGAGCTTCCTTGCAGCAGCTTTCAAACTCATCCTCTATATGATAAGGATTTTACTACAGCCAACCTTTGTGTAAGAGTTGGGCATAACCTTATCACTAGTACATAAAATTTTATTTATCTCTTATTTTCAAGTCAGAGATGAATAAAAGTTACCTTTGTTAACAAATGATTGGGATTAAGAGTCTTTGATCACATGGTGCATACCGGTACTTTGTCATAACTTTATTGTGAGTGTCTAATCTAAACCTACCAATACACATTTCCAAGAAAGGAGTTTCATCAGCATCTGCTGTACTTGTAGATGAGTACTGACCAATGCCAGGCTTGAGGGGCTGTTGATGAAAATAATGCATTAGAAATGCACATTTCAAATGAGTGTTGTAAAACCAAAATCACAGTAATCACAATAACGAATTGGAACAAAAAAATATATAAAATAAGCCAATATGAACTCAAAATAAAATAAGGTAGCTGCATGATGCATAGGAAAATACTACTGACCATGTCTAGTTTGTTAATTTACAAGATTGTTTTAATTCATCACTCTCTCTTCCAAGATTTTTAATATCCCTTCCTTCTGAAATATGCCACACCTCACTCATGTGGACACATAAGCCAAATGTTTATAATGATCTACAAACCAGATTCCTCAGATTTTTGAAAACCTCAAGTAGGATGAAAAAATTACCTCTTGTTGGGCTAGAGGATGAAAATCTGGAAGTGGATCCTGTGATAAACAATTAAGAATTTAAGTTAATATATGATTCAAGCATTTAGAAGACACAACTTAAAACAAAATTCACAGCACTTTGAGAAATGATTCCCGAAGCAGCAAGGTTTGCAGGACCCTGTCTGATTGTATAATTTATTTTTGTTTTGAATGTAAGTAGCTGAAAAAGATGCATGAATTTTCTAGGACAACCACTAAGTGTTGAAAAGTAGATTAATACATTCCTGGATCTCAACAGCAGGATATTTCTCTATTTTAACAAGTATTACCTTTCCAGTAATCTCCATCAGCTGTTTCCTCAAGCTAAGAAGCTTGCTTCTTAAACTTTCATAACTATTCATTCAATAAAGAAAAAGAAATAAGAGCTTTGTGACCAATTTAAAAAGGTTTAAGTCAGATGCTTCCCTTTTACCATCACTCAAGTAAAGAGACACAATGGCAGGTCCAAAGACAAGGGTCCAGAGATTGCCACACATAACCAAAGACATATTCAACTAACCTGGCATTTTTTATCTTTTCCATCCATTCTTCTGTATCTTTGGTTGATTTTCCTCTGAGATGATACCGCTGAGTGTCATCTTCATCAAACACTGTTGAATTAAAAGAATCAATGGCCAATGGATAAACCATCATGCACTAAAAATAATCTGTCATAACTGAATTGAGAATTGAATGACACAGTCTTGGCATTACAGTTAACCCAGTCAATTCTCATCTCTAGCTAGTACACATTTCTTTGTTTACAAGAAATTGGTGTTCAATCAAGGTCACAAATTGTACCTGATGAGTTTGAGTATTCTTACCACCTGTTTGCTGAATAATGTATGAATACTACAGGGAGAAGTAACATATTAATCACTTCTGGAAGTTAGAGAGTTAAGAAATTTAATTACCTCCTGCACAGACATTATTTTGGAATTAAACCAAGGAAAACTGATCAGGTAGAAAGAAATTAGAGACAGGTTGGCCAAGATTAATTTTTGGTAAGTGCATTGAACATCAAATATAGTGATCATGTACATCAAACTCCAAATGATTGTGTGAAGATGCACAATTTCATGCCTTGCCTAACTTATAAGGGAAGAAATAATTTACCAATTGTGAATCCATGCTTCTTCTGAGTTGGTGAGTCTTTTAACACTTGGCACCGTTCAAGCACTATAGCACCAACAGGGTCAGAGGTCTGCATAAAATCACAAAAATTTGGTCTCAGTTTTAAATCAAACACCAGTTAATAACCAATGAGTAAATGTTTCATCTGCTCTTCAGAGGGTTGGCAAATGGTACGCTGAAATATTATGGATCTTGAAAATTTTAAGCAATCCTGAAATCTCATCACCCTTTGGAGATAAGCCGTGATGCCTTACATGATGCCTCCCCCTTAATTCTGGTGATCCTAACCTCCCACAAACTCATAGTCAGTGCCATTGTTGTTGTTATTATTGCCATTGCTGCTGTTCACATGATAAATGTGACAATACTAATGAAATCACTTATTAAGTCAAAGGTTTTTTACCTTCTGCCAAGCTAACAGCAAGCTATAGTGAATCAGGTATACAGTTTTCATGACTAGTTAGGTTAATAGGTCACAGATGCATACAAACCTTGTCTTTTGTCTTGAAGTAGAACAGCAGATTTCCTCTGAGGCGAAACCATCTTTCTGTATAAACTTAAGGAAAAAAACATTGATTCAATTTCCTTAAAGCATCTTAAATTTTTGGCAAACCTTCTTGTCTCCTGCACAGTATTAAGATAACTGTATGTGAAATTTTAATTTCAAAATTGCTGGATAATCTCGATTGATGTGTATTGATTCTTGCATTTACCTGGTTTCGTTTCAAATATAATATGAATACATGCAATATTTGGACAAGAACAATATTGCTCTTCCTTCTAAAATCAACTAAGGGTTTATTTATTACTTCATTACAACAAACTACATAATTTGACACAATGGAGCTATACCAAGAATTATTCTTTAATGGGACCAATAGCATTTTTGTCAAGAAAATTGAAACGAGATAATCTTGCAAATGTAATTCACGGATTACAAATATGCTTCGTGGTAAACCTCATGTTATAATTAGGCATCAAAAATGCACGAACTTAGATTCAGAGGTTACATTTATAATTATTCAAACAATTTAAAGGTATTCTATACAGCGAAGACAAAAATTTATTTACATAACTGTTTAGGTAATTGACGATTCTGGATGTCAAAAATACTTTCCTTTAAATATCTCGATCATTTGAAGTCATCTGTTTATACTTTACCTTCGTTCCTTTGCCAGAAATGGCCTTCTTTCTCCTTCAACCACAATACATCTTCCTTGTCAAAGGGAATGTCTGTTCTTGTAGCAATAAAAGCGAGTTCCTTTTGGTTAAATCTCATATTTTAGGGAAATCCGGGTTCGCTCGAGGTATCCTCCATTTTAGCATAACAATAAGCTGGCTAGTTACCAGTCCTAAGGGTTTTGCTTCAGTTGTTGTTTCAGTAGACGAGACCCGGAAATCTTAAACATCCGGAAGATGTGGAGTTTCCTACTCTTATAACACATTCAAATTCAATCATTTCCGGCTAAATCAAGCTGATTGAACAAACTCATTAAATTCGAGTTCCCTAATTGAATTTTGTCACGAGCACGTTTCTCGAAGGCCCCAGTAACTTAACAGGCCTGTAAAGTTGTTCTGCTTCCACTCAAGATGAGGGTTTTTAAACGATAAATCTATCAGATAGAGAAACAAAATGGACTTGTTGGCACGTGAGAACCTACTTCTGTATTCTTTGAATTTGGATGTCAAAATATGGCCTCAGGTCCGTCAAGTTACAGGGACCTTAAAGAAATGGGCCCCAGGTCCGTCCAATTTTGGGCAGATTTGCGCGATATTAGACGGTGCTTTCACGAACAGGAGCCTCCAAAACCTTTCCGTGCAATTTTAGACGATTTCAAGCAACTTGAAACGATTCCAATTAATTGTACACGATCCTACATGATTTTAGGACTGTCTAGCTGATCCGATTTCGTCCGATTTCACACGATCTCATCCGAATTTCAACGGGTCCGTCCGATTGTGGACATCTCAGCAGGCGGTTAAAAATCATACTTGGTTTACAACGGTTGCACTCGAGTGGGAAATGTCGAACACAGCTAATAAAAGGAAGGGATTTTCAACGATGATTATGATTTTTAGGGACAACAACAGCGTGGAAGAAGCATGACCATATAATGACTGATGTATACGGCTTGCTCCGTGCCCAACATAGCTTTGCCAGATGGAAATGAGGTAATATGAAGCAAGGTTAAGGTAAACTGACGAGGTGTAACTGTTGTCCTTCCCAATCACTGTGATATGCCAAGCTTTTGGGTAACTACAAAAATCTAGTCCCCTGTCAAGATTAGCGGACCCAGTACACGAGGCTTACAGAAAAATATGATCGAGTATAAAATCCATTGAATTTCGGCTGCATACGAATGAGCTTGTCAACATAACTCTGTTAATGCAATGAACTTGATAGCGCCAAGAAGAGAGTGTGCAGATGACTTTGCTGAGACTTTGGCGAAGATCAGTGGATTCAGATTTAGTAAAGGCTTTTCCGCAGCTGTGTCTTAGGATGTCACACAATGCTCCCCTCAAAACAAGCCACTGATGAAAACTAATTCTTTTGAGGGAGTGTTGTATGATATCCAATGCCCTGCATGTAGAGTCGCCTTTCCCTTCAGCTCTTCCCAATATTCGTATTGAAGGTAACTCTATACACACCAGACATTCTGCAAAGGAGACTACGTTAAGCTGCCGTGAAAGCATACAGCTTTCACACACTACTAATCTAGGATTGCTGATGAGCCATGCCACATAAAGATCACAGATTCACTTCGCTTCACATAATTAAAAGAAAAAAAAGGTACAAAAGTCACCGAGTGTCCTTCATTTAATGTTGTCATAACACGAAACAATTACTGATGTTGTTCACCTGAATATATTACACACAAGTAAAACGAGTAACAAATCTACACAAAAAGCTGAATGCACATATTTCTTCCAATAGGCAAGCATAAGGTTTACAGCTTCATACAATCCGATATCCACCATGCCACCTTGAATGGAGTTGTGCTACCAATTGCCTAGTGGGAAAGTTTTTTCTTAAAACCCAAAGATTAGATACTAAAACTACACTTAAGTAGCTATAACTGAAATGGTTATGTTTTTCTGGTTTAAAATATTAAATGTAACTGTTACCTCTTACTTTGCTAAATACATACAGTACAACCACACTGACTCAAACTCCTGAGGGAAACAGAAAATATTTCAAACTGTTCAAGCCAGAGGGGATTTGATTTTTTTCTGGTTAATTTTAAATTATCCAGTTAATAAGTAATTAGGAATCGTGTTTTTATCATTATTGCACAATTAAAAGTCATTTTGAAATGTTTAGTTTGTTTTATAAGAGCTTTTTTATAAGAATGCTAGGTTAGAGAAGTTTAGCCAGATGTATTACAGTTTGGGAGGTTTGAGCATAGGGAAAGTAAAATTAGTTCAAGTTAACCAAAGTTTAGTTAGTTGAGAGTAAATGACTGAAAACTGGGTTCAAATATAGGCAAAAACAAAATTTTGTTTCAGTTCATCTACTTCAAGTTAGCATGGTTCTACTGTATTTAAGATCGCAAAGGGCTAACAGACTTATGGCACCTATACACAACTAAATAACACTTTAATTAGGTAAGTCTAAAGACACTCAAACTTAAGAACTGCTCTCTACTAACAGTGTACAGTTCACCTCAACATGATATTTTGGAGGTGTGATTTGCATAAAAATGTAAGCAGGCTCTCAGAAAATGGGGCACTTCTAAGTTTTTTAACGAAGGTTGCTACAAAGCATGAGTCCCCTTTAGGCAGAAGTCAGTTGTACCTGCTAAGTATAACACACTGTTGACATAACATTATCAAGAGGAAACAACATATTAAGAATGACACCATATGTTGTCAGCAAAAATTATATGATCTTAATACCTCAAAGTTCAACAGTTTTACACACATAATACTGCTCAGTAAAATTTAATTTCTGAATGTTGAATCTTCCCTTAACTCTGCAATAAATTACAGCCTACATGACAAAACATCAGCAGGTAATACTTGACCTAAGTACTTAAAATTGTGAAGTTAAAAAATGCCCCTTCACAAAGACAACAATATTAACAATAATTTACAAACAAATGAAAAGAAATGAGTGCCCAGGGGGTAATTTTTACCTTGGGTGAAAAAAATTCCTCGCTGAAAGTAACTTGAGAAACATGCTTTAACCATTTCACTCCCACAAGTGACCAAGACAGAATTTCTCCTTACAAAATCAATACAACATCAAGCAAGTAGGTGATGAGAATAGAGAAGAATATCGATCATGGGATTATTAGTTGATCCAATACCAAATTCTCTAAACTAACATCATAAGAATTGTATGGCAGATAGTAAGGAGAATTACTAATCAGATCTTGGGAGTGAAAGGGATAAGAAATTGAGAAGATGAGAAGAAAACATACAGTACTTAAATACTTACACTTAACTTAAAAGATAGGAGCTGTTGTGACAAAAATTGCATGAGAAGAGAAGTGCTTCTTTTAAAGAAATGCCTTGTTTCCTTAACAATGACCATGAATTTCAATTTTACAGTTTTGATTTAAGCATGAATCGGGCATTGGAACACTGAGTACACTGGACTAATGGTAACAAAATAAGAATGAAGATAAAAATAATGTGTCTTAAATGAATAGAAAATTAACCAAAAGAGATATGAGAAACTCCACCAGGAGGAGCATGCACTTTCACTGATGTATGAGCTGGTTCATCTTGGCCGCGTCCTGCAATGATGTCACTGCCTTTCCTTGGTGGGGGAGGTTTGGCTGGTTCTGTAGGCTCCTTAAAAAGAGAAGATTTTTGCCGTGCCTCCTGGTGAGGATTCACTGTGTGAGGCTTTCGCGGCTCAGGCTCAAAAGGTTGAGCCACTGGTACAGGTTGGCTTGACTCACCAAAAACACTGGAATGTTGCCTTCTTTGTTGACTTTGCTTATGGTGAGCAGCTGCTGTGTCAGGAGCAGGAGCAGGACCATCTGATGCAAAGACATTGGATTTGTTTCGAGCTGCTTGGCAGGCATTTACCTCCTTCTTAGGAGCAGCTGGTTCAGGTGCATCACCACCAAACAAACTGATGGATGTTTTCCCACCAGGAGGTGCAAGAACTCTGTTGTAATAATAATAAAATAAACCTTATTGATTTATTTGATTGCACATAACTTACAGTATTACAATGAATTGCATAGTAACCAATCTGTATTGTGATTAAAGTTTAAATACAAAATCCAATCGATTTTAAATTTCCAAATGTCAATTTGTGTGTGCCCACTAACTTCTGGCAATATTTCACACTAGGTTCTCTCCAAGGTCTGGGTGAATGAAATAATTGCAAACTTTCTTCCTCATTTTTTATCTAATCACTACTTCATATGGACTGATTCATTTTACTTAATTTTCAAAACAATTATCAAGGCTGTGCTCTGAGAAAAATACAAGGGAGCCCAGAGCTCTGAAATGGTGGAATCCAGGGTGCCAAACTTATGCTTTTTTAAAGAAAAAGCAAAAAAAAAGAATCTCTAGTTGCCCAAGAGCAAAATTAGGTGCTAGGGACCACAGAGCATTGCCAGAGCACAGCCCCGATTACTTCTACCCAACAGGAAATACTCTCTTGTATTCTAAAATGTAATTGTTCACAAAATCATGTTTAGTGAAGCAAAAATTGCCTCATTAATTTTCAGTTTCACCGCGCTAATTTGTAGAGCATTTCTGACCGACATTTAGAGAACATGAAAAACCATATCTATGTGATGCAGGCAAAAGGGAGGTTTGAAACACCAAATATTTTGAAAGTTATATACAAAATAAAAATATAATCTGCAATGAAAAAAAAACAAAACAAAACAAACTTAAGCAAAACTGAAAATGTTGGATTAGCAAATTCCTGAGGAGCCTGCAGAGGTCTCCCATGAGATCTTATAAACAAAAGTTTGAAAACCACAAAGGTCAAGAAAAGCCTGCTTATCCTGTGACTACTCTTAAAATAGGTGGCACTGTTAGAGAACATTACACAGCCAAGCACTTCTAAAAGCCGTGAAAATTGAAATTTCACACCTCATGATCAAAAATTGGTTTAAAATAAAAGAACAGTGATAAATACTTGACAACTACATGTTTGAAAACAGAATTTCCATTACTTTGCTTTCACCATTCATCTAACAGTAGTTTAAAATAGTGCATAGTATCCCTCATCAATCTAACCTAATTGCAAATGAAGATATTTTGCCCAATATGTTGTGATAATTATTCATACAGTGACTGCCTTTTATGAGGCTTTTAAAGTACCTATCAAGTTAACTTTGATTGTAAATAACTTGTAAATCCACTGACAATATCAAACATAATATTGAAACTTGAACTCAAGAGTGAATTTCCTAGATAAAACACAATCAAGAAACAATATCAGAAGACCTCTCTAGATCAACATAATTAGGGGGACAGACACTATTTTGAGCTGACCCGCTCATCAGACTATGGAAACGACACAGCAATAACATCATTTTCGATGAACAGCACGATTTTAAGAAAACAGCACTATTGCTACAGCAATTGTGAAGTAAGAAACACTGCTAACTTATAGAGTAATACCAATGAAACAATGCTATGTTTGCAGTAGAAATTGATTGTGTTTACCTCATTGTCAGTTTCATTAAAAGTTGGATGTTTCATGGGCGATGAAATGTGAACATTTACTTTTTGTAATTAAGGAGTTGAAAGATTTTATTTGCAGAGTAAACAGGATAGGGATTAATCTTTTAGTATGCCCTTCTCATTTTCCTCTCAAATAAGTATTCAGTGTTTTTACGTGATGTTATGAAAAGGCCAAACTTTATATGACATAACCTTAACAGGTATACAACACTCCATTGTGTTATTTTTATTGAAACGAACAGCAACGAATTTGCATTTGCTTATGGTGGAAGAAACTTGATTGTCATAAATTGATATAGCGTGATTAAAGCGAATCAAGGAAACTATTCGGTGATATCGTGTTTCACTGAAGGTTTTGAATAGTCCACCGAGTTAAAGCTTTCAAATTTTTCGGATCTTGAGAAGGCAACATCGTGAAAGACGTCTACTGATAAGCAGATGAATGTCTTCAAATGCCATCCATTTTAATTCAAATTTACTATTCAACGGAAACTTTCGCTTTCATCACCTTTACGCTTGATTGTAAGAGATGTTTGCCTTGTACATATTATAATCCGAACGATCTTAACCCATAAATTTATTTACACCTAACAGCTTTCTGCAGCGACAGATAACACAATTACTGACTATATTTCAGCGTGATGCCAAGCAAAACTCGTGAAATGTCAAAATTTGCCTTCGAAGCTTTTAATAATTTATGGCTTCGTGGATCGGCCTTTCAAATACACGCGGTAAAAAAATTGCTTTCTATATTGCAAGCGTTCAAAAGGAAAAAGTAGAACACACGAAGACGACAGAGCTTCCTTCAACCATACCTAAATGGGGCGTACTGTTTTACTTCGAAGAATCAAACAGATCTATTTTTCCATCGGCAGAATAAATCGCTCTATTCAAGTTGTATTATGAAGAAACAGCATGTACGCAAAGAAAACGCGGCAAGGTTTTCCGTATAAATGCATCTACTTAATCCAAAATTTGAAGCATCCACGAGCTGAATGTGTATTTAATATATATTTTGAGTGTTTTATCGAGCTAGCAAGTGCCACACAATCTCAGAATTCAACGCTTCTTAAGAGTTCTTCGTCACAATGACAAATTGAATTTACATAAACTACACATCAAATGTACCCGAGCGAGAAATCGAACAAGCAAAGGAAAAAGTAAACATACTTTGACAATTAATACTCCTTCAAACTAATATCCAAAACATTAACAATGTCTGGTAAATAAAAAGAACCTTTGCTTGAATCTGTTAAACAGAGAGAAGACAATACACAAAGGTCAAAACAAGCAAAAAGGACATTTCGTACGCGGAGAAGAACAGGTCTGCTTCGTAGAAAACCGTTTGAAAAAGCTGAAGACAACTTACTTCGTGGATATATTGGTCGAGTCCGTTATTCCGACTGTGTTATCGCAGCTCGCCATGGTTAGTTTGGTCAAACTTCTGAGCTTTGGCGCTCTCCGGTAAAGCCGTTTGAAAACTCCCTCCTAAATTCAACTGCGCTTCGGCCGGCGATACAAAATTTATGACAGGAAGTAACGATAATCAAAACAAAAAGTTCCCGGATGTACACAATCCAACTAAAAATTTTCAAATGGTTCTCCTTTCCTCCTCTGCTCTGATTGGTTTACTGAGAATATTGCCGCTGTCTGATTGGCTTCTCTTAACGAGATTGAATTTTGTCTCACCGCATGGTCGGCAGGGTTTCTCTATGCGGCGGGATTTATGGTAAAGTGTTCAAATTTTATTTTGCTTCCAGTTTCAACTCTCACTCTCCACATTTGTTTCGTTTTTGCGCTTAATTTGAAGTCTCAAAAGTTGAATATGGGAGCTGAGTGTGGTTTTCAAACAAAACAACAGCTCAACGAGTGTATTTTGCGCTGCCCTTGGTCGGAATACCCGCTTCCTCCAGTACACAGAGCTTGTCGAGATGGCGATATTCTTAGTTTGACCTATTTGACCATCCAAGGAGATAGGTTAGCAGTTTTTCACTCAATTAATGCTCAGGATCAATTCCTTATGTGGACACCTATACACTGGGCAGCTTATTTTGGAAAGGTGAGCTTCAAAATTAAGGATAGTTTACCCTGAATTTTTCAAACACCTTTGAGACACATTTTCCGTAATTTATTCCAGATCGAAAAGTCAGTCCGTTTCACTTTCTAGTCTCCAAAAGAATAACTGATTGGTCATTCTACAGTGATTAGAAGTTTATTTTTGTATCCTACTCTTACTTTTGTCTAAGCTGGGCTGGTAACATCAAGAAAGCTGTGCTGTTTCTAATAAGTGAACTCTCAAGAGTTCTTATTGCAATATCGTCCACATGATCTCCAGTGTCGGTTGCTAATAACTAACCCCAAATACAAGCAAGGTAGCAACAACATTGATCATTTTTTATACATTTCCGCTTTACTGTTAACACTGAAATACAGTTCAGACGCCAGAGTGTCTTCGTTCTCATCTTTGTGCTCAATATATCGAGAGTTTGTCTGTCGTGACTTTTTATTGGTATATTACTGCTTTTGTGAAAAACACACTTCAGCCATTTACGTAATCTCCAAACACTTCCCTTTCATAGCACCGCAATGTGATGAAATTTACGGCGCGTTCACCTTGTGAAAAGAGAGGAAGAATTAAAAAATTTTCGCTAAACGAATTTCCGTGTAGTTTACAGACTAATATATACGTGATGACAACCTTTTGAATGAAATCTCGGTTGCCGTGATGTTGATCATTAGTTCGAAATGTTTTAGTTAGGTACCAACGCAGTTAACTTTGAAAAGTTACTAAATTTGGACACTGGGTAATACTAAGTTTGTCTCTAGAGAATTCAATTCTTGGATAGAGTCAAATGTGATTATCACAAAAATTTTGAAAACTATAGGAATTTTTGTTGTTCAATTTGTCTCTAGTCAAAACAGGAAACTCTTCAGAATGAGGCCTGGAGCATTCTTTACAAAACTTTTCTACTGTATGACGGTTTTACCCGTTTCTGTAGTCTGACCATGAAACGTGAAAATAACCCTCGATTTTTCTAAAGATACTTACTGTTTTTGAATGGGTTTCATATTTTAACAGACAAAGATTTAGATCACTTATGCATGTATTACATGAATGAATAACGCTTTTAAGGTCTTACGAAAATGTAAATTGTCTACAGTTTTGTTATTTGAGGCAGAAATTTTGAACTGCAAGTTAATTCTAAGTTAGTTACCAAGTGTTTGACTCCGATTTTCAATGAACACTGAAGAAAGTTTAAATACTTCTTGTTGTACATCATTGTTATCCACTATGGCAGTTATTGACTCTTTCTCCATTCACCATCACATTATTTCTTGGGACAGACAATTGTTCATGGATAAAATATATGTTTAAGAATTGTCTATGGAGTCATAATAATAATTTTCTGCAGTTTTTGGGTGTTACAGTTGTTAACAAAGTTTTTTGTTCTGTTGCTGAGTGTTGTTAACTGTTATGGTAAGTCTAACCTGAACTTTGAAATAAGGAATTCATTGTCAATCAGTAATTAGAATTGATCAGGACTTAAGGGCTAGTCCAGTGTCTCTTTGATTATTTCTTAAAAACAGATGGACATTTCTGAATCAAACATAAGTCACTAGAATTTAGGAAGTCATCATCAACTTAATTAGCTCTTGATTGTGGAACAAAATCTCCTAGTTAGTGCCTTAAGAAATGAATAGAAAACATTTTGGAGAATATGCATACTGATGTAAAGGTGTAAAGGGTTACTACCAGGGTGATATCTTTGTAAGTTTGTTGATTTAAAGTAGAAAGTTACTATAAAGCAACATAAGAAAAGTTGGCAAATTTTCTATGTCAAAACCCTTGACTACTTCTATCCTTCTCAGGCGATATGATTATACTGATGGCCTTTACTCAGGAGATGAAAAAAAGAGAAAAAGCAGTTTGGTCAAAAGGCTGACAAAATTCTCGAATTTCTAATCACAAAAATGTGTATGACTCAACCAATAGTTAAGTAAAAGATTTCTATATTTAGGTTGAATGTGTGAAGCGCCTTGTTGAGTGTGGATTAAACATTGATATAACTGAAGGGAGATTTGAACAGTCTGCAGCTCACCTTGCAGCCTTTGCTGGTCATGTGGATGTACTCCAATGGCTGCTGGAAAATGGGTCTTCTGGACAGAAGCAGGTAAGATTATTTATTGAAATTTCCTACTATATTCTGCCTATTGAACTTCATTTTCACCCTGAAGTAAGTTATTGGATTCCTAACTTCACTGATTTCAATGCTGTAGGATAGTCTTGGAGATACTGCAGTGCACAAGGCTGCTCGCTGTGGAAGCATTCAATGTTTGAGGTTGTTACAGGAATTTGGAACTCCCTTAAGGTATTCAAAACAACAATTTAACTTGACTTTCAAACTTCTGAAGTGTATTATTTGAGTAAGTCACCCCTTCACCTCTTCACCCATTGAACTCCAATTCTTTTTGGTGTTTATAGTTGTCAAGATATTACTTGACTTCCTGTTCTATTCTTATCACCTTTCTGCTGAGGAATGTACTTTTATTGTAGATTAATTTACTTGTTAATCACACCTCTGAGCTTAAAGGTACAGTATGAGACAGTGTTCTTTGAAAAGGGATCGTAACCAACCTCTGTTGTCTTTCAGTACTTTCAACTTGTACCGGCAAACACCCTGTGACCTTGCTTCCTCACTTGGCTATGAACAAAGTGTTCAGTTCTTGAGAAATCACAGCTGTGCTACAGGTGAATATTTTCTTAGCTGGTCATACCTTAGTGATAATGATCTGCTAGTCACAACCTAGATAGGAGAGCAAGCACAGTTTTTGCTAGATTTTTAAATTCCATATATACAGAGCACTCCTTGGGTAAGGCCAATTGTAGACCAGAGATACTTTCTTGTAATTTGAAATACATGTAGTTTTTGTGGGAATCATTTTTTTTTGCCAAAAATTGTTACCTCAGTTTTCAATTAATTGTGTATCTTTAAAGTTTTTATTAATGGTAGGTTTGCATATATAACAACATTTTTGCCCACTTATTTCTTCATGAATGGTGAATTATCTTACTTAAATTCCAGTGTCAAGCCAGAGAAAAAGTAAAAGATTACTTGATGATGGAGACTACACAGAGCAAGCAAAAAGACCCAGGAATGGTGGGTATTGCCTCGCAGGACTATCCCTATTCTAAAAAGACTTTGTTGGGTGAGTTAGCTATTTTCTGAGATCTTAAGGCTTACCTTTTTTTACACCTGTCAGTATGCATATTCTCCATACTGTTCTCTATACATTTCCCAACATGCTTAGAAGGAGAATTTGTTCAACAATCAATGGTGATCAATTCCTTCATTTTCATGACCATTAATGTTTGATTCAGGCTTGATATTCTAAAGAGAAATTGTAAGCCTAGGGATCAAAGAATTAGGAAAAAAAAACATGTTACTGCTTTAAGACATTTTAACAAGTATTATTTCAATGTCAATTGTAGGTGTTGTGGAATATTTCGATCATCTTGAGGAACTTGGTCCAAATGCTGTAAATCACAATCTGCACATTTCAAATGATGAAAATCAATGGATAGACAGTACAAATAGTTTTCAGAATGGGCATGTAAATGATGAACATTTCAAAAGCACAAGTTACAGCAGTTGTCTCTCTGCTAAGAACAGTGATGTTGACATGCATAGTGATGAAGTTCAAGAAACTAATGCAATCGAAACAAATTCTAGCGATCTTTATTTAAACCAGCCTGTTAGATGTTTAAGTCTATGCAGTCACATGCAGTAACTAGCTTATGCTGTCTATAAATTTATCCATTTGTAAATAGAGGTCAACTCAGAAACTCTTAAGATAAATGAAGAAATTCCCATATGGTAATGTTCACACAACTTTGGCCACTGCATATGTATTTATTTAGCTGTAAAGCCATTTTACCTTTGCATTAAATGTTGCTTCAATGTGTTACAAGTTACCTTCAGTGTATATACATCATCATCCAGTACATAGTTGTAACATTCTACTTTGTCTGCAATTAAAAGGATCAAGGTACATGAACTGATATCAGAAATTTTGAAAAGTTGACATTTCAAGCATTGGCACATCTTTGAAACAAATTTGCTCTGATCCAGGGCAAATGTATGGTTGGAGTTTGTCTATCAGACTTTTGACTTAGGCTGATGCAAGAATACAGTGATCAGCTTGATAACATTTGCTATGGCAGTTTATGAACCTTAAACAACAGGTTGTTGCATGGATAACCTTGAAATTATTTCTTTTTCATGTCAACACAGCAAAATACTTTCTTTAGAAACTAATAGCCTTGTTGGATTACATTGTTTGCATACATTTTCAGTCCAGTGCACATAATGTCATGTGGCAACTTGGCAATTGACCACTGAAAAAATGTTCCTTAATTTAAAGTTGACTGCCAACTTAAGTGTGGCAACTCTGTTCCTTTGTTTTTTTTTTAAAAACATACTTTTATGAATTTAATTGCATTTACTGTGCTTGAAAAAATGTTCTACATCTTTCAATTTTGTAATATAACAACTTAATGCAATATTCTATCTACATGAAATTATTAACACCTAAGGGAAAGGTTCTCAAAATGTATTTGATAATTGTAAATTTCTAGTAAAATAAACTGAAATTCTTCTGGTTGTAACTGGTTTGTCAGATTATAGAAAACACTTTGATAAAACTTTACTGGCTGGAGGATGCTAATTGTAATCAAAGTTTCTAATTTGGGATAGAGTAAAAAAATTATACCTTGAGCCTGGTTATCCCAGATTATTACTACAAATGAAGAATGAGATTGTTAGCTACAAGTCCAGAAAGTTGGAAATGTTTATACTTTCTTGATGCGTACCAGATTTTTGTGATGATTGGCGATCGTTCACCGTATATAAAAACTTCACTTTTCATAGTATGGGAAGTTGGCAAACAAGGAACAATTTTTGGAAATGCAAATTTAGCAAATATTAAAAAATATATTTTGTATAATATTATTGGAACTCTATAGGCTGCATACTTATTACCCCCCTCCCCCTTTCTAATTTCAAAATTTATGTTCCTATGAGGTGAACGACCAAAAGGCAAAGTTTTACAAAAATATATTCGCAGGTTCTATTTCAGAGGATTGACCTTAAGTGATTTAATAAAATTGGACTAGTTCTGTCTAAGACCCAGAGTTGTGATAATCTTTCTTTTCTCTTAGATATTTATTGGTTCAGTGATGATAATTAAAAAAGAATCAGTTTGTTCTAGGAAAAAAAATAAACTATTTTATGTGAGCGCTTTGATATATATTAAATTATGCCCACCTGTACCTACCCAGTCTTAAAATAGTGTAATTAAAAGAAGCACACTATCGAAAGTAGAGATTAATTTACTAGGATATGTAACTAAGAAACTGCATTTTTGTAATACTGATGGAATCCTGTTCTTTTCGGACTACCCTAATGCACTCTATTGCAGACATGGTGGCCTTATAGCCAGAACGCTGTTCTCTGGGTGGCGAGATCCTATTTCAAAGCATGGCCAAGATTATTGTTTATTATTTGACTTCCCTTTGACGTTACTAACTTTGTTTTTTTCTTTTCTGTTCAACTGGAAGATTTTTCATCTGAGTCACCAAATGTCACTGTTGCCACACACCCATAAAACCCATCTTCATCTTTCGGTTCTTCCATTTTACATGAGTGCAAAGCTGTAACTGGCTCTTCCCCAAACTTGACATTGATCTATCTAGCATAACTCTCCTCAGGGATTTCCCAGACCCCATTCCTCTTAAACTTTTTCTCATCTATTTTCATGATGCTCAAGTGAGGTGTGTACTCGAGAATCAGTCGAAGGGATTCCTTCTATTGTAAATATTTTGCGCACAGTTTCCTCAACTGATTCTAAAAAATTTGTTTCCTTTACATCAGGTTTTGCATAGAGAAATTGATGCCCAAAGTGGCCACGACCAGAGAATCTTAATGTCATTGCACTTTTGGCTGCGATGGCTTCCACAGGTGTCTTGCACTGATGTAATATTTTTCCCTCTCTCTGGATTTCTTCAGCATTCTCAAGGCGCATGACCATAAGGGAAACATACAATTTTTCAGAGGAGATAGTAGTTGGCGTCAGTTTCTCATCATATTTCGCAATCGAGTGTTGGATACCATCGACCTTTTTGTGTAACTCAGGATTATGAATGCGCACAGCCAAGAAAAAGTTTGGTTGTATCCCTTCAGGCCTTTTGTTTCTATGGGACAATAATTTATTCAAATTTAGCATTCAATACAGTGGAACCTTGAGTTAACGAAGTGGCAAGGGACTGGGGAAATTGGTTCGTTAAATTGAGGGTTTGTTATGTCCAAAACCTTGATTTAACGAATTTGCAGAAAAACAACCAATTGTTATATCGAGGGCTGGTTAATAATTACTTTAAATTTTTTATGATGATGATGATTATTATTATTATCACTATTAATATCTTTTTTTGTGGTGTGACGTCGCGCTACCCAGCATTTTGGGATAAGAACGATTACTGTAAATAACATTTGTGCTTTAATGTCCATATGAAGCTACATATACTGAACAGGTCTTTACTTTTTTAAAGCAGGTAAGAGAAATTTCAGTGGAAGTCACTAGCAAACGGAGAAACGACGAGGATTGATTCTTGTCGATTTGCTCGCATTTGTATTTGTCACGTGACGATTGTGTTTGTTATAACGAGGATTTTGTTATTTTGAGAATTTTTCCCCATACACTTTTTACTGGAAAATTAGCCGGGCTGAAGAGTATCGTTCGTAATACCAAGGACTTCACTTTGAAGAGTTTCGTTAAATCGAGGTTCCATTGTAGCAAATTTCGCTTTAATCCCCTTTATGCTTTTTGTTAGAGTGTTTGCTTAGTAGAAATCATCATCCGAACGATCTTAGCCATAAGTTTAATATTTACACCTAACAGCTTTTTGCAACAACGTATACCAAAATTACGGACTACACTTCAGCGTGATGCCAAGTAAAACACATGAGATGTCAAAATTTGCCTTCGAGGCAGTTAATAATTTATGGCTTCGTGGATCGGCCTTTCAAATACACGTGGTAAAATAATTGCTTTCTATATTGCGGGCGTTCAAATGGAAAAAGTAGACCTAACGAAAAAGATAGAGTTTCCTTCAACCATGACTAAATGGGGGGTACAGTTTTACTTCGAAGAATCAAACAGATCTGTTTTTTCCAGCGGCAGAATAAATCGCTTTGTTCAATTTGTTTGAGGTAGAAACTACGCGTACGGAAAGAAAACGTGGCAAGGTTTTCCGCATTAATGCATCTACTTAATCCAAAATTTAAAGCATCTGAATGTGTATTTAAGATATAGTTTGAGTGTTTAATCGAGCTAGCAAGTGCCATACAATCTCAGAATTCGACGCTTTTTAAGAGTTCTTTATCAATAACAAATTTAATTTACATAACCTACAGGTCTGCTTTGTAGAAAACCGTTTGAAAAAGCTGAAGACAACTTATTTGGTGGAGATATTGATCGTGTCTCTACTTCCGACTATGTTATCGCAGCTCGCCATGGTTAGTTTGGTCAAACTTCTGAGCTTTGGCGCTCTCCAGTAAAGCTGTTTAAAAACTCCTTCCTAAATTCAACCGCACTTCGGCCGGACGTTTTCCGGACGTAGGCAATCCACCTTGAAATTTTCAAATGGTTCTCCTTCCATCCACTGCTCTCATGGGTTCACTGAGAATATTTCCCCTATCTGATTGGCTTCTCGTAAGGAGATTGACCTCCGTCTCGCCGCATGGTCCTCAAGTTTCTCCAATTCGGTAGTGCGTTCAAATTTTACTTTGTGTCCAGTGTTGACTCTCACTCTCCGCATTTGTTTCGTTTTTGCACTTAATATGGAGTCTGAAGCGTTGAATACGGAAGCTGACTATGGTTTTCAAATAAAACAACAGCTTAACTGGTGTACTTTGCGCTGCCCTCGGTCGGAATACCCGCTTCCTCCAGTACACAGAGCTTGTCGAGATGGCGATATACTTAGTTTGACCTATTCAACCATCCAAGGGGATAAGTTAGCAGTTTTTCGCTCAATTAATGCTCGGGATCAATTTCTTATGTGGACACCAATACACTGGGCAGGTTATTTTGGAAAGATGAGCTTCAAAATTAAGCATGATTCACCCTGAATTTTTCAAACACCTTTGAGACTCATTTTCCGTATGCCATTCCAGATCGAAAAGTCAGTCCGTTTCACTTTCGAGTCTCCAACGGAATAGCTGATTGGTCATTCTGCAATGGTTAGTAGTTTATTTCGCATCCTACCCTTACTTTGATCTAAGCTGGGCTGATAACATCAAAAAAGCTGTGTTCTTTCTGACGAACTGTCGAGTTCCTGTAGCAATATCGTCCATGTGGTCTTCAGTGTCGGTTGCTAATAACTAACCCCAAATACAAGCAAGGTGGCAACAACATCGATCTTTTTCGTGCATTTCCGCTTTACTGTAAATACTGAAATACAGTTTAGAATCCAGAGTGGCGTCGTTCTCATCTTTGTGCTCAATATATCGAGAGTTTGTCCGTCTTGACTTTTTCTTGGTATATTACTGCTTTTGCGAAAAACATACTTTGGTCATTTACGTAATCTCCAAACATTTCCCTTTCAAAAACGCCGCGGTGTGGTAAAGTTTGCGGCGAGTTTAAACTTGTGCATCTTAACACTTTTAATGTATAGTAGTTTTGCATATATAACAACATCAGCCTTTTTGCCCATTTATTTCTTCATGAATGGTGAGTTATCTTAAATTCAAGAGTCCAGTCAGAGAAAAAGTAAAAGATTGCTAGATGATGGAGACCACACAGAGCAAGTATAAAGACCCAGGAATGATGTGTTTTATCTCACAGGACTATCCCAATTCTAAACAGACTTTGTTGAATGAGTTAACTTTTCTGAGATCTTAAGGCTTAACCTTTTGACACCTGTCAGTATGCATATTCTCCATACTGTTCTCTATACATTTCCCAACGTGCTGACAAAAACAGGAAAAAAATAATCTGTTACTGCTTAGGACACTGAAACAAATGTAATTTTATGTCAATTTAAGGTGTTGTGGAAAATCTTGATCATTATGAGATACTTATTCCAAATGGTGTTAATCACAATCTGCACATTTCAAATGGTGAAAATCAGTGGACAGACAGTGCAAATGGTTTCCAGAATGAGCATGTAAATCATGAACATTTTAAAAGCACAAGCTACAACAGTTGTCTCTCTGCTAAGGACGGTGATGTTGACATGCACAGTGAAGAAGTTCAAGAAACTAATGCAATCAAAACAATTTCTAGATATCACTATTTAAACCAGCCTGTTAGATGTTTAGGTCTGTTTGGTCACATGCAGTAACTGTCTATAAATTTATCCAGTTGTTAATAAAGATCAACGCAGGGACTCTAAAATAAATAAATAAATTTTCGTACAGTAATGTTAACACAACTTTGGCCACTGTATTTGTATTTATTTAGCTGTAAACAGCCATTTCACCTTTGAATTAAATATTGCTTCAATGCGATACAAGTTACCCTCTGTGTACATACGTTGTCATCCAGTACATGGCTGTAACATTCTATTTCATCTGCAGTTAAAAGGATCAAGGTACGTGAACTGATATG